GAGGATGAGAGGGGGAGGAGCAGGAAGCCTGAGCAAGCCTCACCCCGTACCTGCCAGGAATATGACCACCAATACAGCCCAGAGAACCTTCATCTTCCCGCCTGTGATTGGCCAGTCTGGGGAGGGAGAAACTGTCAGTCAGCAGGTAGTGAGGACTCCTCCCACCCTACCCAGCCCCACTGGGCCCAACCTTCAAAGCCTTGATCAACTCCATACCTACAAAGCCTAATCCAATCACCAACGCTTACCAAGCTGCCCCTCCGTTGACTAACTCCCTCATGTCCTCTACCAACCCCCCATTCCCAGGTTGGCCTCCATTCCTAAAATTCTATCTCCCTCTCACAGGGTTCAAATTCCACTCCCACCCCTCTCCCACCCTACCCAGTTCTGTAACAGTCGCAACTGGCCTTTCTAAGTTCCAACATCAAATTCCTTGTTATTCTAAGCTCCAACTTACATTGAAGTGCGTTTTCCATTTATGAGCTAATTTAATCCTCATGTAGAAGTGCTCCCTCAGTTGATATCTAGCTACCCTGTTGCTGTCCAGGTGTCCCCAATTATGGAGGCTGAGGACAATGGGGGTCACCCAGTAGGTCCTCAATAGATGACAGTAACGATCTGTGGGATCTTGCTACGGCTCATCTCCTGGTTCTTCCTACAGGTCCAACTGCTCCCCTCCTTCTAGGGACGGGGACACCCCTACCACCCAGCCCTTCCCTAGGTCCAGTCCCCTGCTCCCTGGCCTCACCCCCAGCTCCTGCGTCTGTCCTGAGGAATAGACCAGCCACCTCCTGTCTTCCAGCCAGTCCCCAAGTAGCTTTCTTGAGCTTCCTGCCTTTTCCTCCTTGCCCCAGACTCTCTTGCTCTGCAGGCCAGGGGTTCCTGCAGTCCCCAGCCACATCTCTCCAGAGGCCACTGAACTGGTCTCTATGCCCCCCATTGTGCTTCTCACCAGCTCCTGGGAAACCACGTCCTCACCTCCGCTGGGGCCGAGTGGGACTCAGGGATCCCAGGCTCCTCCAATTATAGGGCTCCCCCTGCCCCGCCCTCTCCCCCAGGGATAGGGCAGGCTGGGCCAGGCCCCAGTCACGAGGAGGGCTTCCTCCCCCCTGCCCCCACACACGCACACAGCAGGGCAGAGGAAAGAGGTGGGGCCTGGAGGCCTTGTGACACCCCCCCACCAGCCCCTTGGGAGTTGACACCTCACTCAGTAATCCAGGCATCGTCCTCCATTCTGGGGGGGCTGGGCACAGAAGGGGAATGAGCAGGCTGCTGCCCAGAGTACTCTTTCCCTGCCCCTCTCCTTTCCTGTGGATGGATGAATAAAATTTGGGGAGGGGGCTGGGCTCCTAGACTCCCGGGTTCTTAGAAAGGAGGGGGTGCTGGGGGCCCGAACTCCTGGGTTCTGAGGGAAGAGGGGGCTGATTCCTTGAAGGAAGGCCTGGACAGAGATAGGATGGAGGCTGCCCGGTTGTTCAGTTGGTTAGAGCGCAGTGTTAATAACACCAAGGTCCATGGTTTGATGCCTATACTGGCCAGCTGCCCCCCTCCCTTGAAAAAAGGGTTGGTTGAAAGTCCTTCAGTTGGCCAGTTAGCTCAGTTGGTTTGAGTGCAGTGTTGTAACACCGTAGAGCGCAGTGTTAATAACACCAAGGTCCATGGTTTGATGCCTATACTGGCCAGCTGCCCCTCTCCCTTGAAAAAAGGGTTGGTTGAAAGTCCTTCAGTTGGCCAGTTAGCTCAGTTGGTTTGAGTGCAGTGTTGTAACACCAAGGTGAAGAGTTCAGATCCCCATAGGAGCCAGCCACCAAAACTAATATAAAATAATGTTAGGGTGGTGCTGATAACACCAATGTCCAGGGTTTGATCCCTGAACTGTCCAGCCATAAAAAAAAAAAAGGATAAAGAAGTAGGATGGGAGGCATGAGGACAGTGTGACGAATCGGCTAAAAGCCTAGGCTTTGTGAAGCGAAGCCTGAGTTTTAATCCAAGCTGCTGTTTTGGCTGTGACCGTGGGCACAAGTAAGCAACTCTCTCCACCTGTCAATGAGAACCCAGCACTTTCCTCTGGCTGGCACAGGCATTGCAGATTCCAGGAGTTGCCCACACTATGCCTCACGTTAGGACTCTGGTTGCCAGCTGTGTGACCTTAGGCAAATGCCCTAGCCTCTCTCAGCATCCAACTTCTTTACCCATAAAACTGGGAAAAAAGCTGCACCTGTACCGGTCTGGTGACGCAATAAGCTTATGTTGTGTATCAAGCACTGACAGTCTGTGGCACACAGTAGGTCTTATGTTAGGGTCAACTACTGTAATTGGCCGTAGTGAGTGCTCAGTCACCTTCTTAGCAGGCCAGCTGCATGAATCCCAACTGTTCACAGATGAGAAAGTGTTGAGGTGAATGGCAAGGCCACACAGCAAGAAGTGGAGCTGGGATTCATTCCGGATTCCTTGAAGGGATGGGAACATTGGATTCTGCCGGGTAAGGGGAGGCTGGCCTGACCAAGCTCAGGCGTTTTCTTTTGCCTCAGAGGGTGCTCGCAGGAAGTAGGTGAGGTGGCTTCTCTGGGTAACTGTGGGTCATCTCTACTTGGCATCCTCCTTCCACAGATCCTGGGGGCAGACAGGGTTTCAGTTCCCGTCTGGGGAGGAAACAGGGTGGGGCTGGCTATCAGTTTACTTAAACCCTGGTCTGGCAAAATCCTGACACCTCCTCCTCAGATACAGGTGACCCAGTCCCCCCACCCTCTATCACAACCTGTGAGTCCCAGCCTGTCCTGTAAGGCCCACCAGTCCTTGAGCCCAAGCCCTTCTCCCCTTCAATTGTTCTGAGGCTTTTTCAGTAGCTTGAATCCTTAATGAAGCTCCTGAAAGCTCTGACCTATCAGACAAAGTCCTAACACGCCATATCCTCTGCCTCTTTGCAATCTGGACAGACCCTGAATCCTAGCTCCCTGCCCCCACCTCTGCACTCATAGACACTGCCATCCCTGTTGCTTTAGTTTGTAAGGACAAAGTCCTCTCCAGCCACTCTGGCCAAGTCAGGCTGGGTTGAGTAAACTTGAGACCCTATTCTCCTGGTGAGGGGAGACCTGTGATGTCCCACAGCAGAAGAGAAGTCATGGGGGGCAGGGGAGGTTGTGTGATCCTGGGCCAGGTTCTTCCCCTCTCTGACACACTCTGGCCAAGTCAGGCTGGGTTGAGTAAACTTGAGACCCTATTCTCCTGGTGAGGGGAGGCCTGTGATGTCCCACAGCAGAAGAGAAGTCATGGGGGGCAGGGGAGGTTGTGTGATCCTGGGCCAGGTTCTTCCCCTCTCTGACGTGGGCTTGATGCAGCCACCCAGTGAGACTTGTGTGGTTCCCGGGACTGTTCCATGATCCAGCCCTCTGGCATCCCCTACTGGCGGCTGTGAGAAGGTTGGAGCTGGATGGATTCAAGGGATGAAATGCTCAAAGGGCCACACTTGTGAAAACTGAGGCCTCCCATCTCAATTGTTTTTTTCTATGTATATTTTTTGTTGTTTTTTTTTTTTTCTGTAAAATGTCCCGGTTCTTCCATAACTTATAAACATGATTTATACGGAGGAGTAGACGGGGGAAGTGGACAGGGGTGGACTGACTGGGAATGGGGAAGCTCCTCTTGCTGCACCCCCCTCAGGGCTGGGGCCAGGGCCCTTTGGAGGATGGAGACACCACGACACTCCTCCTTGAGGCTCTCTGGCCACCTCTGCCCCTGGTGCTCAGAATCCTGCGTGCACCTCGATTCTGGAATCCCTTCTGGGACCTCAGGCCCACTGGGCATACTGCCCCCGGTGCTCAGAATCCTGAGGCGCCCCTCAGTTCCAGAATCCCCTCCTCAGCTGCTGGGATGGTGAGTGCCCTCCTTTCCACTGCCCCCCGACCCCTAAGGAGGAAGGGAAGGGAGGGGGAGCAGGGCTATGGTCTCCCCTCTGTGGCGGGGGGAGGTGGAGGCGGGATCTGAAGGAAGAAGGGCATGGAAGGCGGGGGCCAGGAGGGGCTCAGCCGATGGTGAGGCCAAAGCCGCACTGGAACTTGTTCTTGCGGTGATTCAGGAAGGCCCCGAGAGCCAGTGTCAGGGGCAGGGGTGGGAGCTTCTTCTCCAGCGTGGCACCCACGATCCAGTTGCTATCCACAGAGCCTGGGGGTAGACAGATGGGGTGAGGGAGCTGCCGTCTTTCCACCCCATCCCAGTGTGGTTCCACTTCAGCCACCTCAGGTACCAGCCACACTGGTAGCTTCTGGGCCTCTGCCCACATTGTTCCTGCCATCAGGAAACCTCTTCACTCACCCCAACTACTTCAGCCCTTGGAGTAAATGGCTCACTCCTCCTCAGTTCTCAGGTTAGTCACCCCTCCCCTTCTAGAAGACCTCCATGACTCCCTGGGCTCCCCCAACCGAGTCCTGCCCACTCTGGGTCATCACTCTTTAGGGACAGGTCTGTTCCCCCCACTGTGAGCCATACGAAGATGGGGCCTAGTCACCACTGTGTTCCCAGCACCACTAGGCAGGAGGCTGAGCTCAGACCAGGTGCTCAATATTTGTTAAGTGAATGACTGAATGACTCAAATTTCTTCTAGGGATTGTGCACCAGAACCTTATAGGTGGATAAGCGCATGCCGTTATCCCTGCACTGTGGAAAGGGATTAGAACTCACTTAATGGAAACAGGGAAGCAGCAGAACTCGAACTCAAACCCAGTCCTATTATAGCACGCTGACTGCAGAGCAAGGGGCAAGAGGTGGGCAGGGAATGCAAGTTTCAGAAGCAAATAAATCCCTGGGCCCCATCATGGCTTTAGAAACTATGCCCCAGGCCAACTGAAGAGCTTTCTGGGGTGGTCTTTTTTTGGGGGGTGGGTAGTGGTGGTGGGGACTTGGTGCTTTTCATTTACAAAGGAAAACAGCGCTATTTGGTTAGAGTGCAGCCTTATAGCACCAAGGTCACAGGTTAGGCCCAGCTTCCAAAAAAAAATAAAGAGAAAAACAATAAAAGAACTGGGGTGGAGTGGTGGTGGGGACTTGGTGCTTTTCATTTACAAAGGAAAACAGCGCTATTTGGTTAGAGTAAAGCCTTATAGCACCAAGGTCACAGGTTAGGCCCAGCTTCCAAAAAAAAATAAAAAAAAGAAAAACAATAAAAGAACTGGGGTGGTCTTTATATACCCAAAATGTGAGTACTGAGGTCCAAGCAGAAAGCATTAAGGCTGGACACCAGGACCAGAGTTAGCCTGGGAGGACGTTCTGGATCTGGCTGTGATCATGTAACCTCTGGGAGCCTCAGCTTCCACTGATGAGAGATGTATGGAGTGGGCCGGTGCTTTCCAAGTTGCCTTCCATTTATGGAAAAAAAGAAAAAAAGTTGGCTAAGTGCAGAGAGTGGGAGAGGGCTTGCTAGCAGGGTGGGGAGGGAAGGGGCAAAGCTCTGGCCTCAGCCCAAACACATCTATCAGGTGCGCTGGGGTGGGGCCCAGGCACCTACTTCTTAACAAGCATTCCCGGGTAATTTGGAGGCCTACAAAAGTCCTAGCACACCATCCTATATCAACTCCTTTGGCCTACACACCCACTCAGCTGAGTCACCTCTGGCCTGTTCCCCATGTAGGGTAACTGAAGCCTTTACCTTTGAAGAGGAGGTTGGCCTTGGGCAGGTCCAGCTGATACCCAAAGGAAACACTGGTGTCCTGCATCCTTGTGCTGGCCTCAAACTCCACGCCTACTTGCAGCTGTGGGGCCAGGGCAACACACAAGAGTTAGCTGCCCAGTCTAGACTCCACGGCACACCAGACCCTGGCAACACCAGCCTGGAAAACACAAAAACACACCCTCGCAGCTCACCTGGTCACTGGCTTTGTGGTAATATGTTGCGTGCATGCCTGCCTGGCCCAGTGTTATCGTTGCCAACCAGTTGTTCACTGGAAGAGAACAGGGTAGGGGTGGGGTCATGTTACTAAGGGGACTTGGGCATCTGGAAACTGAGCCCCTCCTCCTTCAGACCCAGGGGTCCAGGCCCCCAGCCCCTCCTCCCTCAGACCCAGGGGTCCAGGCCCCCAGCCCCTCCTCCCTCAGACCCAGGAGTGCTGGCCCCAGGCTCACATGTGTATTTCCCAGCTAGAGACATGACGGTACCCTCCTCCCCAGGCCGCCGGTGATAGACCAGCTCCCCGCCCAGGGCCAGACATGGTGTGATGCTCTGGAGGTAGTGAGCCACAAGGATTCCTGCAGGAGAGATGGCAGTCAGTTTCCACCCAGGGTGACAGGCCAGACTCCTACTCCAGGAAGCTTCCAGGCTTGCCTCTGCCAGAGGCTGGGGCCTGCCCTCGAGCCTCCTACACTTGCTCTTTGGTCCTTACCTGCTGCCACGCAGTTCACACTGCTCTGAGGTCAGACTCCCAGGCTCTGTGGTGATAGCATTACCTGTGGGACCTTGCCTGGCCTGCACAACCCTGTGTGGCTGGCCTTTATTCGCCACTATTTACAGAGGAGGTCATGGAAGCTGAGGGAGGTAATTCACTCGTGGTCACAAAATGTGTCAGGGGCAGAATACAGGCCTCTACACCTTCCAAGCCTAGGCTCTGAGCCACTCTGCTGCTGTGAGAGGCAGGAGAGTAGAGTTGGTAAGAGCACACAGCTGGGGTCAAATCCCAGCCCTGTACCTTGCCAGCTGCATGACCAGGGACTCTGCCGTTAATACGATTACCCTTTGGGGTTGTGATGAAGACTCATCACACTGAAGAGTAAGTCCAGGTTCCTCTGTCCCTCAGCAGTAGGGATGGATGGCCCTGAGGCCTCTGTGAGTGTTTGCTGAACAAAGGAACCTCCACAACTGGACTGAATTCCTCATGCTAAAGGACTGAGAAGAATTTGCTTCTGTGTCTTAGGAGTCTAGCAGAGTACACACCACAATGTGATCTAATGGGGGGAAGAAGAGAGTGGGAGACACAGAAGGACAGAGAAATAGAAAACAAGACATGTATGCAGAGACAGGGAAGTAGAATCAGAAACAGAGAGGAAAAGAGGGACTGAAGACTCCCCAGTTAAGAAATCTGCTAAGATTGAGTCGACACAGGCTCACAGGTCACAACCTAGGAAAAAAAAAGAGGAAGCTGTGGTATGTGGTGTGTGTAAAGCTGGGACAAGATGGAGCACGTGAGGCGTGAAGTTGCTTCCCAGACAAAGAAAACCAGAGGTACAGACTTGGGGCCCTGCCCAAGAGAGTGGGCTGCCAGAGGGGCTGGGTGTTGGGTAGGCAGCCCCCAAGATGGGCCAAGAGTTCATGGCCAGGGCCCTTCTGGGGGAAGCTAGGATCAGGTGTGGACCGAAGTTGGCCTGCAGAGTTTCATGCGAGCCACTGTGCAAATTTCTTTCCCTCAACAAGGAGATGATACATATTAAACCAACTCCTGCCCTGAGAACTGTTTTTTTTTTTGTCTTTTTCCGTGTCCGGCAACGGATCGCAACCCTCAGTGTCGCCCCCGTACCGGACCGGGACCGGCAACGGGATCGCAACCCTCGGCGCTGCCCCCGCGCCTCGCTCAGCCAGTGAGCGGGAACCGGTCTGTATGTGGGATCCGAACCCTCGGCGGGAGCGCCGCCACGCTTCCCAAGCGGCGCCCTAGTGCAGTGCGCCCCCGGGCCGGCCCTGAGAACTGGTTTTTTTTTTTTTTTTTTTGTCTTTTTCTGTGTCCGGCAACGGATCGCACCCCTTAGTGTCGCCCCCGTACCGGACCGGGACCGGCAACGGGATCGCAACCCTCGGCGCTGCCCCCGCGCCTCGCTCAGCCAGTGAGCGGGAACCGGTCTGTATGTGGGATCCGAACCCTCGGCGGGAGCGCCGCCACGCTTCCCAAGCGGCGCACTAGTGCAGTGCGCCACCGGGCCGGCCCTGAGAACTGGTTTTTAAGCCACTACCAGCACACTTCTGGTTGGGATAATCCACCTATTCAGTTGAGGGAGAAATTGAGGCCCACAGAGGAAAAAATAACTGCCTAGATTCACATAAAGAGACAGGGACTTAAACTCAGAATCTCTGGCCTCTCAGTTCTGAGAGTTATTGAGACTGAGACCCATGAATGTATCTCTAACCGTCCTTCCCATCTCCTGGGCCCCACCTTGCCTTGTTTCTCTACCACAGCTTCCTCTCTAGTCTACTGCCCAAGTCTCCAAGCAACCTCACATACAGCAGAGAACTCCTGTTCTCTGTCTGCACAAACCTGTCCCTGTTCTCCCCCCGCCCAGAACCTGCCATGGCTCCCAGTACCCCAAGAAGATCCACCTGCTTGCAGCATGGCTGCAAAGCCCTGTGTGGCTTGGCTCTGCTTCAACAAAGCCACTTCTCCTTCCCACCCTGGGCTGCATGAATGTCTGGGGCTTTCTCCCTTTTTCTCACCATGGTCCTGTGCCCACCCTCCCTTCTGCTAGTGAACCCTTCCATCTGCTCAGCCAGCCAGCTAAACAACTGTACAGAAGTATTGCTAGATTTGGCTACCCTTCTCCTGCACACCCCTGATCAGATTCACCATTACTATGGGACCACTGCACTTGCCCTGCCCTGGTTTCCATTTCCACCCTTGTCCCCTATAGTGGACGAACAGAGAGCAGCTGCTGGGGATCTGTGAAAAGTGAAGCCAGAGTCTGGTCTGCACTGCTCATGTCTGTCTCACAGCCCCATGTACCCAGAGGAATCTGGCTCACTCCTACTCTGAACCTCGTTCTCTCCACTCCCTTAGCATCCTTGGGCCTCTGGCCTGCTGTGGCTCTGGCTCAGGGGCTTCCTCCTGAACAGCAGAGCTCGCTGCCCGCAGGCCTCTGCTCAGCACTCTTGGCCTCACAGGCCTTATTTCCGACTCTCCCACCTTGTTGACATCTTGATGTCCTTAACCTGCTCTGGCTTTTCCTACTGTGCTTATCTCTATCCAGCTCCCCACTGCAATGTGAGCTCCTCCAGGGCAGGGGTTTTGTCTAGGCCATTCTGCAATGTCTGCAGACATTTGTGATTGTCACGCTTCAATCAAAAATTGCTATGGGCATCTAGTGGCCGAGACCAGGGATGCTGCTAAATGTCCTGCCATGCACAGGAACAGAAGCAGTCATAAAGAACCTGGAGAGTTCAAAACCCCAAGAAGGAAAGGAAGTGAGTCAGAGGTAAGAGTGAAGAGAAGGCCGCGGGCAAGGGCCAGGACCCGACTGACCTGTGGAAGGAGCCCCATCTGCTAATTTCACCTCCTAAACCTGCTGGGCAGGGAGCTGCAGACGAACACTGAAAACGGGTGGAAGTGGCAGTTCGGGCTGCCACTCCTGGCCTCTTCCTTGCCTGGGCAGGGATTCCTCAGGGAAGTCTCCTGGGACAGGAAAGAATGGCAGCCACCTAGGGCAGGTACGCAGGTGGGGGAGCGCCGAAGGCAAGGGGGCTCTCGGCTGCAGTGGACACGATGTCTCTCCACCCTCCACTACCCCATGCTCTTTGGGCCTCCAGGCTCTCACCCACACAGCGCCCTCTTTCTGGAGTGTTTCCTGCCTCTCTTCACCCTCCTTCTGACCCGTCCCTGTTGGCCTAGACACCACCATTTTAGAGAAACTGTCCCTGTCACTCCAAGTGAGATGGGTCCCCCTTGTTATAAACCCTCATAGCAAGCTGAACTTTTCCTGTGTAGGACTTCTTAGAACAGTAACAAATTTACTGTGGGAATATTTGTTTAAAGATAAATGTCTCTGCCGCTGGCCTGGGAGTCCTAGGAAGGCAATAAGGGGCAGTCTCAGTCATTGCTGTGTGTCCCAGCACCACCTTGCCCGGGGCTGGCACACACTAGGTACTCAGAATAAAGCCGAGGCTCCAGAGGAGCCGAGGTGTGGGGAGGGAGGCTGAAGCTGATTAAGCGCACAGGCTCAAGTGAGGCCTCGATTCA